GGGTCACGACGCAGGGCGGCCCAGAGCAGCCTGGGAGATGTAGTCCTCGGACCGTCCCCGCTAGAGGCTGCACAGCCCGCCCGGACCACCGCCGCCGCCCGGCCGGCGCCCTCCCGTTTCCTTCCTCCAGGGGGAAAAATGTCCTTCGGGCCGCTTTCCGGGAAGCAGCAGGATGTGCCGCTCCACTGTCAGTAGCAACAAGGTCAGTCCTCCCTGCCTGTTTCTTTTCCCCTCAGCTCTCGCTCTCAGGTGGGACGGAGCCAGGTGAGGGGAAGGGGCTGAAGGGCCATTTCTTGTCAAGGTCCTCAGTCCCGGTTGTGGCGTCGGGGCGGGCCGGGGCGGCGGGGGGAAGCCCCTCGCTCTGGAGCCAGCCTCTCCCACGTCAGAGCCGGTTTGGAGGGAGTTACACAACCCCGGCAAGGGGTCGGATGCTTCAGTGCGTGAGGTTATTCCCAAGGGGCGGTGGGTAGGGGCTGCCGCGACCCGACCGTTTCCACCCCAGCGTCGGTGTGTTTGGAGGGTGGGGGGAGAAAAGACGATTCTCTCCTCTAGGAGCCTTCTCAAATGCGCCTTCAATGAGCTTTCAAGGGCTCGCCGACGGTCTCCAAATGGAACACGTTCGTGAATAAACAGCGCTTGCTTACTCAGCTGTGGGTTGTCAGGGATGTTTGTTTCTCTTTCTGCTGCTGGTCACTGTTAACCATTTCTTGTCTCCTTGACACCTCTAAGCAGGTGGATGGCGGGGAGGGGATAAAAAGAGAGAAGTCACAAATCACTCGATGGGCTATTCTCTGACGTTCTAGGAATAGCTTTGGTGGGAGGGGAAGAGCAGTTGACTAAAGCGAATGCGTATTTTGGGCTACCTGTGGCGTTCTTTAGTGGTGTGATTGGCAGGACGTTTCGTAGCTTTTGCCTTGACTGTGCCTAATTTTTGCTGCAAGATGTTGGCTTTTTCTTTAAATGAAAATGTGTTTTTCACGTTCTTATTTAATGTAGAATTTTATAATCAGGTCTTAATTAATGTGTTCGAGGTTTGCTCTCTGAATATATTTGCAGTAGAGTGTACATTGCCAGAATAAATAAATAAATAAATAAATAACACATGACTAGAAGTTTATTTGTTCCCCAATTTCTGAAATATGCTTTTATGAAAGCATATTTCAGCATATGCTTTTATGAGTTTGGGGTATTATAATTAATATTCATCTTTTCATCTTTTTCTCAAGCCCACCCTAGAGAAGGAAAATAAGTGTTTAATCAGGATATATAATATTTAAATATTAAAATAAGTGTTTAATCAGGATATATAATATTTAAAGTTTTTTCTACTGTCTCATTTTTTCCTCCTTCTCCTTTTTCTTTTTTGTTTTTTTCCATTTTCTTATATGATACAGGGCCTAAATTGCCTAGGCTGGCTGGAACATTTAATCCTCCTGCCTCAGTATCCCAAGTAGCTAGGGTTACAGGTATACACCACTGCGTCCACCTAATATTTTAGATTCTTATTTTTTTTGTTCCTTGTGTGTAAGCCCTCCTCTGCTGTGTTTATCTCTTAAGCAGTTGTCAGCCATAAGGATTTGAATATAGACATCTGACTTAAAAACAGAATTTAACCTAGTGCATTGATTAGACTAGTGCAGACTCCACTTAGCTTTATGATTTACACTAAAAGGAATTTCATCCCAAAATTTCTATTTGACCCTACATTAGAAAATACAATATAATTATGCTAATAGAAAGCCTATGCAGATTGGCCTTATTATACCAAAAATGAATTTTATGTTTGCATTTTTATGAAAAGTCAGTTTCCCCAGTTATTTAAAAAACTCTTTGAAGTAGAAAAAAATCTGTTATAGGGTGTTGAGGGTGTAGCTGAGTGGTAGAGTACTTGGCTAGCATATATAAAGCCCTGGATTTGCTTTCCCCAGCATCCCCTCCCTCCAATTCTGTTATTCACATCCAAGACATGAAAATTCAAATCCATCAACTGATAAATGGATAAGATGCATGTAGTATAGCAATATAATATAATATTGTTTAGACAATAACAAGGAATGAAATTCTGATGCATTCTATAACCAAGATGTTCATGGCATCATTATTCCTAATATCCAAGACATGAAAATTAGCCCCTGTCAGTTGATTCATGCCTGTAATCCCAGCTACTTGGGAGGGAGGCAGGAAGATCATAAGTTGATGGCCAGCCTGGGTAATCTAGGGAGAAATTATATATACATATATGTGCATAGGTATATTTTTAAAGGACTGGGGATATAGATAAGTGGTTGATAAGTGTAGATAAGTGGTACTCACTTGCCTAGCTTGTATGAGGCCTTTGGAATCCATGGCACTTCAAAAAATAATAATAAGAGTGATCAGCTCTGACATAGTAATTTCATGTCTAAAGATCTCCCAGGAGAAATGAAAACATATATCTACACAAAGATTTGTTTGGGAATGTTCATGGCATCATTATTCCTGACATCCAAGATATGAAAATTCAAATCCATCAACTGATAAATGGATAAGCTGCATGTAGTGTAGCAATATAATATAATATTGTTTAGACAATAACAAGGAATGAAGTTCTGATGCATTCCATAACCAAAAAACAAACAAACAAACTTGAAAAACATTATGCTAAGAGAAAGGATTTAGCCACAAAGAAGACATATTGTCTGATTCCATTTACATGAAAATGTCAAAAATAGGCAAATAGGAGGCTGAGATAGGAGGGTCGAGAGTTCAAAGCCAGTCTCAGTAAAAGTGAGATACTGAGCAACTTGGTAAGGCTCTGTTTCTAAATAAAATATAAAATAGGGGTGGGGATGTGGCTCCATGATTGAGTGCCTCTGAGATCAATCCCTGGTACAAAAAAAAAAAAAAAAAAAGGTAAATCTAGCCAGATTTATGCCTGTAATCCCACCAACTCGGGAGACTGAGGCAGGAGGATTGTAAATTCTAGGCTATCCTGCTCATTTTAGGCAAAGTCCTATCTCCAAATAAAAAATTAGAAGGTGGGGTGATATTGGCCAAACAATATCATTATATTGTATATATGTTTGAATATGTAATAACAAATCTCATCAATATATACCACTATAATGCACCAATTTTTAAAATATGGAAAAAAGTGAGAATTACTGAGGGTGTAACTTCATGGTAGAGAAGCCATGGGTTCAATTCCCAGTACAAAAAAAAAAAAGTAAATCCATAGAGACAGAAAGCAGATTAGTGCTTCTATAGGGCTGGATGGGTTGGGGATATATGGGCAATGACTGTTAATGAATTTCCTTTTAGGATGATGTAAAGGTTCTAAAATTAGATAGTGGTGATGTTTACATAATTTGGTAAATTATATCATATTTAAGATAAAGCAAAAGAAACTTTTGGTGATGGTGACTTTGTAAATATAAATCCCCAAACCATTGAATCATACATTAAAGATGGGCAAGCCAGGCTCTGTGGCCCGCTCCAATAATCCCAGCTACTCAGGAAGCTAAAGCAGGGATTACTTAAACACAATTTGAGCCCAGCCTGGACAACATAGTGAGACCTTGCCTCTGAATGAAAATAAGCTGGGGGGCATGGTGTATACCTGTAATCCCAAAGGCATGGGAGGCTGATGAAGGAGGATCACCAAGTTTGAGGCCAGCCTCACAACTTAGTGAGACTCTGTATCAAAAAAGGGTTAGGGATATAAATTAGTGGTAAAGTGCTCCTGGATTAAGTCCCAGTACCCATCCCTACAAAGAAAGCAATGGGGGTATAAGTCAGGAGTAAAGTACTCCTGTCTTCTATACCCAGTACTGCTAAATAAACAAAGGGTGAGTTTTATAGGACAAAAATTACATCTTAATAAAGCTGTTGAAAGTAATTAGATTTACATAAAATGCTTATGAGGACACATAAAAAGAAGTTGATAAACATAACTAGTAATTATTATTATATTTTGTATTTTTATTAGTATAGGCAAAAAAATCATGATTGATAATGAAGTAAATGAAATCAATCCTTGCATTTGAGATGGGTAGGTAACACATATAGCCTGAATTTCAATATTGTCTGTCAACTTTATCTTCTATGACACTTGCATTTTCCAATAAGACTCTAGAGATTTGGAATTATAACTTTTCTGATATTCAAGGGAAAAGTATTAATTATGTAGAATTGAATTTGAGCAATTGGGTGCAGTGTTGCATGCCTGTAATCCTGCTACTACAGAGGCTGAGGGAAGGACTGCAAATTTTTTTTTTTTTTAAAGAAAGAGTGAGAGAGAGAGTGAGAGAAAGAGAGAGAATTTTTTAATTCTCGGCAGACACAACATCTTTGTTTGTATGTGGTGCTGAGGATCGAACCCAGGCCACACGCATGCCAGGTGAGGGCGCTACCGCTTGAGCCACATCCCCAGCCCAGAAGAATTGCAAATTTAAGGCCAGCCTGGGCAATACTGAGAGACCCAGTATCAAAAATAAAATAAAGCCGGGCGCTTTGGTGCACGCCTTTGATCCCAAAGGCTGGGGAGGCTGAGACAGGAGAATTTTGAGTTCAAAGCCAGCCTCAGTAACAGTGAGGCGCTAAGTAACCGAGTGAGAACCTGTCTCTAAATAAAATACAAAATAGGGCTGGGGGTATGATTCAGTGGTCACGTACCCCTGAGTTCCATCTACCCTACCAAAAAATAAATAAAATAAAAAGTACTGGGGGTATAATCCAGTTGTAGATTCAATCTG